GCCTACGTATTAATACTGAGAAATCTTCTCTTCTTCTGACACAAAGGCTCACCTTCATTGGAACCTGCTTGGATTTGACGTTGGAAAAAGCCTTCCTCCCTCAGGACAGACAACAGACTCTTGCTCGCCGCATCCATCGAATGCGACGAGATGGAACGGTCCCGACGAAGTCTGTTCAGAGGACCCTGGGGCATATGGCTTCCTCAGTTGCCGTAGTTCCGCATGCCAGGCTTCGGCTCCGTCCGCTACAACTTTTTTTCAACAAGGTGTACCATCCTCAGAGAGATCCACCGTCGAGGTTGATTCGAATCCCATCTTCCATGCTTCACTCTCTACTTTGGTGGTTGGTACCAACCAATCTGGTGGTAGGAGTCCCCTTCAGGGCTCAGCCTCCTACGATAACCCTCGCTACCAACGCGTCTCTTCTGGGATAGGGAGCAATATGCTCCTGCTATCTACCCAGGGTACGTGGAATCGTTGAGAATCCACGAATCATATCAACTTCCTAGAACTGCTGGCAGTATCCAAGGCCCTGTGCTCTTTCGAGGACATTCTTCACCATCAGGTCATTCAGATAACTTCGGACAATATAGCTACCGTCTTTTATCTGAACAAGCGGGGGGAACAAAGTCACCGACTCTGGCCAGACTTTCTATGAAAATTTGGGACTGGTGCATCCTGAGAGACATCACGTTGATGGCTGTTCATCTCGCTGGTGTGGACAATGTGCAGGCAGATCTTCTCAGCAGGCACATGTTCACCTCTCACGAATGGGAGCTAGATCCTCGCACGCGCGACCACCTTTTCCAGCGCTGGGGGTTTCCCGGCATGGACTTATTCGCCACCCAACAGAACAAGGTGTGCAATGCTTACTGCTCGAGAGCGGGAATCGGACACGCATCCCTAGGGGACGCATTCATGATCCCTTGGAACAACATGATCTTCTATGCCTTCCCTCCGATCCCTCTTCTGATGCGGGTCATAGCGAATATAGTGCACGACCAGGCATCGGGGATACTAGTTGCCCCTTGGTGGCCACGTCAAGCGTGGTTTGTGACACTACTCAACATCTCTCACGGGGAATTTCTTCATCTACCATCGCTTCCATCTCTTATAACACAAAAGGACGGTACACTTCGCCACCCAGACTTACTCTCATTGAATCTAACAGCGTGGCGAATCTGATGACTGCCATTATTCCATCGATGCCGGCAACGACTTCGACCGACTCTAATCCAGTCGTCGAATCCAATCACCCGGGCGCTTCCCCTTTCTCTAGTCTCTCTGTACCATTGTGTTCAAGACAAGACCCGTCGAATCCAACACCTTTGCCCCCTGATATTCAGCATATCATCGATTCTGCCTTAAAGTCATCCACAAGGAAGTCATATGCGGCTAAATGGAAACGTTTTTCCACCTTTGCCGAGTCTCATTCGTTCTCTCCATTCTTGTCATCTATACATCAGATTCTTCAGTTCCTATTGGAACTGCACCATTCCGGACTGAAAGCGCTGTCCATTAAAGTATATACGGCCGCAATAGCCTACTACTGTGGCTTAGTCGACGGATCACCTCTTTTTTCTCAACCTATCGTCAAAAGATTTTTGAAGGGGCTATATAATCTTAACCCATCAATTAGACCGGTGATGCCCACCTGGAGCCTTTCTGTCGTTCTACAAGCCCTTACGAAGGCCCCCTTTGAACCATTGGCGACAGTGGATCTGTGCTTAGTCTCTTGGAAAATGGCATTTCTTGTGGCTGTCACTTCAGCCCGAAGGGCCAGTGAGCTTTGCGCTCTCTGCATAGACCCTCCTTATTTGAACTTTCACAGGGAGAAGGTCGTTTTACGCCTCGACCCGTCTTTCCTGCCTAAAGTGACTACACCTTTCCATACGGGACAAGACATTGTGCTGCCTGCCTTTTTTCCATCACCGTCGACTCCATTGGAGAGATCTTTGCATTCACTCGATGCTCGGCGTTGCTTAGCCTTCTACCAATCACAGATGGAGTCTATTCGATGTTCCAATAAACTATTCATTAAGTATTCTGCTAGGGATCAGGGCGATCCAGTCACTCCACAGAGACTCTCTAAATGGATAGTCCATACTATAGTCTTACGCTATCAACTAACTAAGCTCGATCTGCCTTCAGTTCCTCAAGGCCATTCTACTAGAGCCGTTGCAACCTCATCTGCCTTTGCATCCGGAGTTTCGCTTGATGATGTCTGCCAAGCCACTACTTGGGTGAACCCTTGCACCTTCGCCAGACACTGCCGTCTTGATGTTCGAGCTCGACGGGATTGCTCCTTCGGCAGAGCTGTTCTCTCCTCCGTTCTTCAATGAGGACACCTTCCCTCCTCCTTTATGGTAAGCTTGTTAATCTGCCCATATGTGTGATGCACAGAGGCCATGACGAAGAAAAGCAGGTTGCTTACTTGTAACTGATGTTCTTCGAGTGGCCATCTGTGCAGTCACACAATCCACCCGCTGGCCCCGCTCGGTGTCGGTGAGTGGATACATCTTTCGGTACTGACGATTCCCATTTTTCCATGGTACCGACCCTCCTTTTTTTCCCTCCATTTGGAATTTCAAATTTTTTTCCATAAGGTGGCGCATGTTTGGTTGCAAAGACTGAACAAAATGGCGGACGCTCTGCTCTTTATAGGCCACGGGGGGGAGGGGGAGCGGAGCTTCCCGTCTAAAACCATTAGCTGGCAATCTTCCGGCCACAGGCACTGCGCAGGCGCAGTACCCATATGTGTGACTGCACAGATTGCCACTCAAAGAACATCAGTTACAGGTAAGCAACCTGCTTTTCTGTAGACTGAATCAGCCCCATATGAGTTTGTGGAGAAAAGTTGCACAAATTAACAGATTTGGAAAATTTGGAGAAAACCCATGCAGACCTCTTGTTTGATCTCTGCTCAATCTGTGCAAGTTTCCCTTTTCCACAGAGTGAGCAGTGATTATGACCAGAATCAAATGCAAGACAAAGTGCAGGAGAATTCTGGTAATTTTGAATAATATTTGTGCACCCATCCTTAGATTTGATTTTGCTTTTTCTTCTCATAGTGATGTTTTTCCAAATCAAAGTTTAGAATAGGTAATGTCACAATCATTTTCTCCCTTGTCCTCTTTCTAGTAGTTCAAAGTGAAAGGCTTTTAAAATGCATCCTTTATTGAGCTAGGTTGGCTATGCAATACAATAAGCAAAAATGGAGTTGCTAATAAGTAGCATCTATCTATCTATCTATCTATCTATCTATCTTCTATCTATCTATCTATCTATCTATCTATCTATCTATCTATCTAAAACATTTCTATCATGTCCTTTGCAGAGCAGAGGCTTACAACAGTTAAATAATCATATAAAATACAATTAAAACATTCAATAATAACTTTTCAAAATTAAAAAGAAAGGAAGGAAAAGAAGAAAGAAAATGTAACTGTATAAAATAGTATTAATTTCCTATTAAAATTATTAATTTATTAAAATGAAGGATAAATTAAAAAGTCTTTACCTGGCGCTGGAAAGAATAGAGAGTCAGCACCTGGTGGACCTCTCTGGGGAGCATATTCCATAATCTGGGCACCACCACAGAGAAGGTCCTCCTCTGAGTAGTTACCCTCCGAACCTCTTTCAGAGAGGGTTCCTGGAGCAAGGCCTCCCCTGCTGATCTTAAGGGGTGTGAGGGCATATAGGGAAAGAGACATTCCTTCAGGTACATTTATCCAAGTAGTGGTCTCCCATCTGTTAATTCTTGCCCATGTTAAGGCTTGATTTCAAACTGAATCTTCTTCCACTCTTTTCTCCCACAAACAGACTGGCTCAACCCTCAAAGGTTTGTGTTGCTTGTGGTCTTCACAGTGAGAATGTCAGATATTATTTAATTGGTTTTATTATTTGGCTTGATGATGAAGGACTGAACTCATACCACTGCCCCTCTTACCCTTCTTTTCATTCAGTGCTGCCTCCTGAACTAGAGGTGGCCTGGTTCTCACCAGCCTCTTGGCTAATCCCACTCATTAACTTTTACATTCTAACCCTCCTTCAGCGCTGTATTTTGAGAGGTGGTTCCAGTGACCATGCTGTATGATAAAGAAGCTTAAACTTGCTCCAAACAAAAGGGAAGAGTTGATGGCTAAGAGTTGAAATAGGAGTGAGTTACCTATTTTGCAAACACATGGACATTGAAAGAGTAATGTCAGAGTTGCCAACATTGAATCTGAACACCCAGGTGATAATCTGAAGGCTGAATTTTTCCAGCATACCATGTGAGCCCTCCTGAGAGGAAATGTGGTTTAGCTACTGTTATATGTGTGCTAATAACAACTACACTGTTACAATCTGTTATACTGTACTTGGAGCTGCTCTTGAAAACTGGTTGAAAACTGAAATTGTTCATAAATTAGGCAACTGAATTTTGATGGAAACTAGTTGCTCAAATATTAAAAACTTTGTGCATTGCCGGTTAGCATGTTGTTGAAGTTAAGCTGGTTCATAAATCAGAACTCTAAGTAGACTGGAACTGGATTATCTGATATCTTGCCTCATATAAGTCTTTTGCTACACTGGCCACAGCAGATAAGCTTAGATCACTTCTGATTCCTTTATCTAAGCTGGTATCGATTACTTTTCTCAATAATGACAACATTCATTTGCAACTCTTTTTGAAAATGTCTAACCAGATCCTGTTGCTGCTGGCATTTAGGTACATGGTGAGAACATTTTCTTGGAAAGGCTTTTGGATGTTAATGCCTTCAGTGCTACTGCTTCTTCATTGACTATACTGATTTACTGCTAACTTTTAAAGCGTACTTCAATTATGGTGCAACTTTATTAACTGATAGTACTAGTGTTTTATATAGCTTGCTGTTTTTATGTTAAGTTCCTGTGTGACTCTGCCCTACAGTGAAAACCAAAGTAACAATCAAGAAAAGGAGTAAATTAATAAATAAAACTATTATTTCTTGTGTTTCATGCATTGCTCTTGAATGTAGATTACATCCAATGCCCGTATTGCCAGAGAAGATTTAATGAAAATGCAGCTGATCGACATATAAATTTTTGTAAAGAACAGGCAGCACGTATTTCAAACAAAGGAAAAGTGATTGCTGAGGTCAAAGGGAAGCTTCCAACTAGAACACAGGTAAATTGATTGTTCTAACTCATCTGATTTCTTTCTTCCATCTGATTGTGTACACAATTGTTTTGTTGGTTGTTTTGGTTTTTATATCAAAACTTTGCCTGAAGTTAAGTAACAAAACTTCAAAGTTCTTAAGAGTACAACTAAACTCACAAAGTAAGGGAAGGGGTAGATAATCAGTTATGATAACCATTAAGCCTATACAAACTGATTTTTAAAAGCTTTCTTGAAAAAGTAAAGGACTGAAAGTTTTGTATTTACCTATTTTAACTTTTAAAAAATAGATAAGCAAATGAAAACATGTGACAATACTGATTAATAGTTTTGGTTTTATTTCTGAAGGCACCTGGTCATTTGTGAAAAGCATCAAGGTTAAGCACACTGAACACAGGTTTGCTGGCATGTTACAAAAGCTATCAGTACATAATTCAGAGTAGCTTGTCCCTGTGATTCACAGAATGTGGACACTTGTGTGTACACGTGCACGCACCCAGCATTTTTGAAATTTTACAAAAAACAAGTGAACATTATTTAAATATAAACATATGTTTAAAATGGACAGTCCTCCTGAAATTTGAGAAAAGAGCAAGCCTGGGAACTTAATTTTAATTGCTATGTATTTCTGTTCTTTCCACAGAAAAGGTCCATTAAAACTGTAGGGGGTAAAAAAAAAAAAATCAGCAACATGGAGAACCAGTTTGTCAGATATTGTTATAGATGACATAAGGAGAAGAATTGTTATTCATTCTTTATCATTTCAGGAAATCAGATTAGAGGAAATCATTGGAAATTTATTCAATAATTATCTTAATACATATACAGTGGTATATAAAACTTATAAATAAATAATTAATTGCTTTTATTGCTTTTCATGTTTGTTGTTTCAGTACAAGCAGCCATCAGTAAAGAAGATGGTAGCCACTGGAGGAATGCCGCCAGCCTCATCACGGTTACCACAGCCAAGTAATTCTTGAACAATTTTATCGATCCTGAATAGCAGGAATGCCTGAATAAACATTACCATAGGACAGGGGTGCAGAACCTTCTTCTGGTAGGGGACAGATCCCCCAGCCCCTGCCAGTTCTCCATGGACTGGGTTATGTCAGTGGGTATAGGTTTATCTCCCTGGAAAAATCTCCCATCACTGTCTGAAATTTGATGTAAGATTGACAGTTCTCTTTCATGCCTCTCCTTCCTCCAGTGAGTGTCATGCAGGGGAATCCCTGTTGTTATCCCTGAGATAGCAGCAGGAAATCTTGCCAAGGAAGATTTCTCCAGGCTTTGACCCATCCCCTATTGGAAATGCAGAACTTCTGTGGACTGGATTGGAAAATCCAGCAGGCTTGGAATTCTGCAATAGCTAGCAAGGTATATATATTACACTTAACATACCATGTTAACATATACACATTTCTGTAGGCTTTAGGGGGCACTTCTCTATCAGAGTCATTTCGATAAAATTCCAGGTTAGAAAAAAGGCAAACAGAACTCTTTGCATGGAACTCATTACTTGAAAATTGTATCACGTGCATTTGCATGTGTTGATGTCCATGACAATTCCAGGGGGTACTGAGAAAGACCTGACTGAAGCCCTTGTGAGTTGCTGCTAGCTGGTGCAGTCAGTACTGAGTTAGATGGACCAGTGTCTCACCTTTGTTTAAGCAGGATGAATAGGACCCTGGCTATGCAGTTGTAGAGGTTGGAATTATGATTTGTTTACATTAAAAGGTTCACCTGCAAATAAAATACTGTCTTCAAGTGGTCCAATGGGAACCAAAATCCAGAGTTCATCTCCAGCTCATAAAAACTTGCCAAGGACAAACCTACAAACAGGGTAAGTACACAATTGATGCTATGTGAAATTAAAATCAAACTAGAACAAACTTGCACTTACTGATTGCACAAGTATTTACCCCCTTTGTTGTGATGTGCCTAAATAAGTATTGGTACAACCTACTCCTTCCAGAAATCAGTGTAAGTAGTTGAATGGAGTCCACCTGTGTGAATTGAAGTGCTACATAGAATCAAAGAATAATAGAGTTGGAAAGGGCTAGAGAGTAATTGGGTCCAACCCCATTTCTCTCAGATGACTGTCCATTGCATCTTGAATCCCTCTAATGTGAGAGAGCCCACAACCTTCCTAGCTAATTGGTTCCATTGTCACACTGCTCTAACAGTCAAGAAGTTCTCCCTGACATTCAGCCAGAACCTGGCTTCATGTAACTGGAGCCTGTTATTCTGTGTCCTGCACTCTAGAATGAAGGAGAAGAGATCCTGGACCACCTCTTTCTGAGAACCTTTCAAGTATTTGAAGAGTGCTATCAAATCTTCCCTCAGGCTAAGCATGCCCAGTTCTTCCATTCTGTCCTCTTAGCCCTTTGTTTCCAGTCCCAGTATCATAGTTGTTGCTCTCTTCTGAAACTTTTTCAGCTTGTCTGCATCTTTCTTAAACTGTAATGTTCAGAACTGGATGCAGTACACCAGATGAGGCCTCACCAATGCTGAGTAAAGGGGAACTAGTTCTTCACTTGATTTGGAAACGAACCTTCTATTAATGCAGCCTAAAATAGCATTTGCCCTTTTTGCAGCCACCTCACAGACTTAGCTCCAACTTGTGAGCTACAGCATCCTTCTCACTTGCATTGCTGAGCCAAGTATTCCCCATCTTGTAATGATGCATTTGGTTTCTTTTCAGTCTGTTGTTTTTAGCCCAGTGCTAAAATTGAGAAATTGTAGATTGTGCATGAGAACCAAGTGAATTCCATTTAGTTGCTAAGAGAACATGTTTGAACATGGCTCAGGGAGAAGTGAAGTACCTGCTTAATAAAAAGCACATGGCATTCATTATTCCCACTTGAATAAAGTTGGTTAGATATTAGGCAAAGTAGAATAGCTTAAAAGCTTCTCTTAACAGTCAAGATACTACTTATAGCTTGAAGATACAGGCATCCAGCCAGAGGCCTGATACAAAAAAACCTGGTCCAGCTAGTATAAACAGACACTGAAAACCAATTTAATGTCACACCCTCAAATGCCATCTCCGAGAAGGCTTGTTTGTCACCCACATGGCTTTTGGCACCAAGCACAAACATTCCTTTTTTCATAGACATTTTAGATGTTATGGCTGATTTTATATATTTGATATGTGACAGAGGGGTATATTATGTTGCATTCTATTCTTTTACCTTTATTTCAGCCACCCCTAACCTGCTTACCTGGAGAAACAATGTAATCCAGTGCCCAGTATAGCTAGCTTCAAGTAACTTGAGGCTGTAGTGCAATACATCTAGAGAGCACCAGGTTGGGAAAGGCAGACAATATTTGTGATTGTGTGGTGTTAAAACATAAATAACCTGCTTGCTTCAAGACTGGTATCTTAACATTTTTACACTTGACACCTACATGTCTCAGTTCTCTGTCTCAACACTTTGGTTCCCAGCTGAAGTTGGGAAGAGAACCACCCACTTTTTAGGTTCATCAACATCAGTTTTCTGCTTGATGTATGATTTGAAAAACCAAACCACAATGCTCAAACCATTTTTGAAGAACAACAGTAAGTGAGAAGCAGCTAATTTTTCCCAGTAATACAAAGTGATGAAGCAGGCACAGATGTGATGCCTATTCATCATCTTCCCTTGGAAAAATAATCATGTTAGCAGTAGTAGGTGCTATGTTACAATCCATACTAGTGAGTATCCTAGTACAGTCCGTAGTGTGCTGGTGAGTTACTTTCTTGTAGAAGGTTCAGCATGTTTTATTCTGTTCTAGTATAAGAAGACAGTCTCCCTCACACACACGTCCCTCATCCTACTGTCTCCTGCTGGGCACACAAAGACTCCTACCACTAAATCCCCAGCCCCCATGGTAGCTTTTTCAGTATGGATGACTTTATGTTCAGGAGACTCAGTGGCATGTTCTGAACTGTGAGTGGATTCTGTTCTCAGGTTATGTTTGTTTTAAATTCTGATTCATTCACTGAATTAATATCTTTTAGAGGGATCATGAAATCACGGGCAGTAGCAGCTGCTAGTACACCAAGAAATGCTGGCATGGCTATGGTAGCAAACAAAAGAAAAGCTCACAATACTGAAAGTTACTCAAACAGGTAAAAGGGAATTGCTGTTTTATACAAGTTTGTTGTCTTACAAATGCCTAAATTCTAATTTCATGAGTGAAGGGATAGAATAGGAATTATTCAAAAATAAATGTATCAATTAATTTAAAGCTTTCTGTGGAAGGTTGGTGTTGGTCTTTCAGGAATGTGCAACTGAAAGAGCAAGGTTACATATTTATAAAAGGCAATATTCAAAGTGATATGAGGACTAACTTAAATGATGTTGTACTAGCATAAGGGCCTTGTAGATCAACAGCAATAGGTTAACTAATCCTGTGAGTTTTCTGGGGAATCACGACCCACTGTCTAGTACTATTTGTTGTGTCCTAGAAACACTAGCACAGTGGAATTTAAGTAGGTGCTAATGTCAGTTGTAGCTAGCATAGTGATTAAGTTTTAAAAACATAATCTTATAATCTAAAAGTCAAGAGAGGAGAGGAGAGGAGCGACGCAGAATATAGAGCTCAACAGCACAAAAGAAGAGATCCATTTTAAAACTGTTAAGCAATTGCAACGGTATTTCAGGAAGCAGTGATTTTCAAAGAAAAAGGGCAGCAAGAGAGGGAACAGAGTCATGAATGAAAGTAATAACTCAAACTTAACCAAGGGAAAATAGAGTAATAAAGCAAAGAAGATGAAGTGGCAGGCAAAAATGAAGAGTTTTTAAAGCAGAAAATATAATAGCTCAAACAACCTAATAAGGTAACAGTAGCAATAATGCAGTGTAGATAAAACGGGTGGGCAGGAAGGAGAAGGAAGCAGAGTGGATAATGGAAGCAAAAGGGGAAAGTTGAGAAAGAGGCAAACTAGAAAGTATAGGAAATGAGCAAGAAGTTAAACCAACCTTCTCCAACCTGGTGCCCCCCAGATGGTTTAGACTTCAGCTCCTAGCAGCCCCAGTCAGCATGGCGAATGGTCAGGCATCCTGGGTTTTGTAGTCTAAAATATCTGGATGGAAATAAGTTGGAAAAGGCTGGAGTAAACCATGGGATTAAAACAAGAAAAGGTGGAAAAACAGATAACGCTATAAACAGGTTAGTTGTGTGAAGTGTTGAAGCTTGACTGCATCTTATGAATTTTGTGGAAATTAGCTTCATAAAGTAAACTGGAGACTACCAACTAGAATGTTTTACATTGGCTGATGTGTTTTTAGGAATGCTTACCATGTTTTATTTTAGAATACTTTTTATAAATAACTTTGACAGAATTACAAATTCCATCAGTACATTTTAAAAAAAAATCTGATTGCTTTAATACATTGCTTGTTGGGAGTAGAGTGAGGATTGTTTTCTTTTAATCTGTGACTTACCCATGATAAGAAAACTAGTGTGAAAGAGGCTGAAGTTGACCCTACAATATAAAATAATATAATTCCTTCCTTTTTCCTCCCGAAAATATTGATTATATCCTTTAATTCAGTTGAATTACCTATCTTACTTTTCCACTTCTGTTCTTTATATGTTCTCTTTTACTGTCAGACACACAATGGTTTGGGTGACTGATCTTATGGACACAGCATTGCTTTAGTGAGAATTGAAAAGACTCTGTTATTTGTCCATAAGCAGGGGAAAAAGTCACAAAGTGAGACATTATTGTCTTAATGTGGTAGCAGCCTTTAATTCCTTTCTACAGTTTCCCTAGGTCAGTGTCGGCTGCGTGATGGAATGGGCATCAGGCAATTAGGAGTGCCATCTAAGAAAGAGACTTAGATGGGTCCTTAAGCAGTCGCTTCTGACTCCACATTTGTAATCCAGCTCCACACTGTCTCATCCTCCCCACCCCACAACACATGTATAAATATGTGTTGAATTATTTGATTCAAGCCTACTCATAATCCTTATGGCAAGATTAGACATTAGATCCTTGTTTAGACTCTCCCGCAGGTTGTCCTCATAGCTGCAGCATTCATGTCCTGCTTGTGCATTTTCCAGAGGCATCTGGTTGACTGCTGTAGATACAGAATGCTGCCATAGGTAGGCCTTTAGTTTGATCCAGCCCAGCTCTTTTCAAATCACTGAAAGTTAATCTTTTTGAACCTTTCGAAGCCTAAAGGTGTGCTCCTCCAGTCAGAACATAAAACTCACTTTCTGAAATTAAGTGCTGAAGTAAACCTGCATACTCTTAATTATGATGATAAATCAAATATTGAATACTTGTTTTAAGGTTATCATCATGCATGCTCTGTCAAAAGATCATTCTGGTGGTATTAGATTTTTAGAAAACAATACTACTGCCCTGTTTTGTAAGAATTTAAATCCTATCCATAAAGTTTGTAGAGTTGGGAAACTCATTAGTCTGGAAGATTTCCAGGCCCATGGCTATTTCAATAAATTAAATCTGTTTGGAGAAGACTTTATACTATAAAGTCTTTAAAGTTTATAGTCTACCAGAAGGAATATACTCCCTTCTTAGAAGGAGAGTATTTCCCTTCTCTCTGGACTCTGGATAAAGCTTCAATGACTCAGGCTGTGGTACCAGAAAAATCATGTGCGAATGAGCCAACAGAATAGAAAGGCAGTGATGCTTTCTCGAATAAAGATAATAGGTCTGGTAAGGAATTCCTTCACTTGAAGAATGAAAGTTGATGGGACATTTTGATGGCCTTCCAGTGCAGGAACAACAGTTGATTCTAATAAAATTATCCACTAAAAAAAGCATAGAGGAACTACTACTTCTCATGATTTGGAAGTAATACTTCTGTTAATGAATCCCAAAATAGCATTTGCCCTTTTGGCAGCTGCATCACATTGTTGGCTCATGTTTAGCCTATTGTCCACAATTACTCCAAGATCTTTTTCAGTTCCGTTGATCCATGTATTCCCCATCTTGTATCAATGTATTTGATTTCTTTTTCGTAGGTGGAGGACTTGGCACTTGTCCTTATTGAATCTCATTCTTTTGCTTTCAGCCCAGTGTTCAAGTTTATCAAGATCACCCTGGATCTTCATTCTGTGTTCTAGGGTATTTGCTGTTCCACCCAGTTTTGTATCATCTGCAAATTTGATTATCTTTCCTTGTACTTCCTCATCTAAATCATTAATAAAGATGTTGAAGAACACTGGGCCCAGGACATGTTTGTGATCTGCTGGAATGAGGGGAACTTAGAAGGAAGAACTGCATTGTCTTTCAGGATTTTGAGTAGCTCCACTACCTTTGTTGTTGCTCAGGCTTCCTAAGGCCAATCTGACTTCACACTCTAGGGTGTGGGACTCTGGGTCAGCGACCACCCCATTGTGGTTATCAGGGACATTAAGCTCTTTCTTGTATAGTTCTTCTGTGTAATCTTGCCATCTCTTCTTAATCTCTTCTGCCTCTGTTAGGTCCCTGCCATTTTGGTCCTTTATCATGCCCATCTTTGCATGAAACGTTCCCTCCATATCTCCACTTTTCTTGAAGAGATCTCTGGTCCTCCCTATTCTATTGTTTTCTTCTATTTCTTTGCACTGTTCATTTAAGAAGGCATTCTTATCTCTTCTAGCTGTTCTCTGGAATTCTGCATTCAGTTGGGTGTATCTTTCTCCATTGCCTTTCGCTTCCCTTCTTCCTCAGATATTTGTAAAGCCTACTTAGATGGCCACTTTGCTTCCTTGCATTTCTTTTTCTTTGGGATGATTTTAGTTGCTGCCTCCTGTACAATATTGTGAACCTGTCTACCAGATCTAATCCCTTAAATCTATTCGTCACCTTCCACTGTATGGAGGTAGAATATGATTTAGGTCACATCTGAATGGCCTAGTGGTTTTTCCTACTTTCTTCAATTTAAGCCTGAATTTTGCAACCAGAAGCTCATGATCTGAGCCACAGTCAGCTCCAGGTCTTGTTTTTATGAACTGTCTAGAGCTTCTTCATTTTTGTCTGCAATGCACATAGTCAATCTGAATTCGGTGTTGACCATCTGGTGATGTCCATGTGTAGAGTTGTGTCTTGGGTTATTGGAAAAGAGTGTTTGCCATGACCAGCGTGTTCTCTTGACAAAACTCTGTTCATCTTTGCCCTGTTTCATTTTGTATTCCAAGGCCAAACTTGCCTGTTATTCCAGTTATCTTTTGACTTCCTGCTTTTGTATTCCAATCCCCAATGATGACAAGGACATCATTTTTTGGTGTGGGTTCTGGTTGTAGGTCTTCATAGAACTGGTCAACTTCGGCATCAGTGGTTGGGACATAGGCTTGGACTAGTGTGATGTTGAATGGTTTGTCTTGGATTTGAACTGAGATTATTCCATTGCTTTGGAAATTGTACCCCAGTACTGCTTTTCCCACTATTTTATTGACTATGAGGACTACTCCATTTCTTCTAAGGAATTTTTGCACACAGTAGTATATATGGTGGTCATCTGAATTAAATTCACCCTTTCCTGTCTGTTTTAGTTCACTGATGTCCAAGATGTCGATGTTCAATCTTGCCATCTCATGTTTGACTGAGCCCAGCTTACCTTGATTCATAGTTCTTACATTCCAGAATGCTATGCAACATTGTTCTGTACAGCATCACATTTTCTTTTCACCACCAGATACATCTGCAACTGAGTGGCCTGTCACTTCACTCTTTCTGGAGCTACTTGTACCTCTCCTCTTCCCCAGTAGCACATTGGACATATTCTGGCATCATCTTCTGGTGTCATATCTTTTAGCCTTTTGATACTGTCCATGGGGTTTTCATTACAAGAATACTGCAGTAGGTTGCCATTTCCTTCTGCAGTGGATCACGTTTTGTCAGAGCTATCCTCTGTGACCTGTCCGTCTTGGGTTCCCCTGCACAACATAGTTCATAGTTTCATTGCACTGCACAAGATACGGACCTAGATAGGCCAGGATCTGATCCATCTTTGCTCTTTTTATATTCTGTCAGGACTATTTTAAAAAACACAGGGAAATGTTTCTCTCGGACAAATTGTTTAAATCTTTCTTCCTTAGCACTCTGCTGCTTTTAGTTTTAGGAATCAGACAGACAAGACTAACATCTCTATTTCTCTTCCTTTTGCCCCAGCTTTAGGAGGAAGTATTTGCACCAAGGAAAATAACATGGATAGAGAGGATTAAACATGTTCTCTGAGCATCACTTCTCTGATCTTAGGGACTTTTAATTAATAAAACAAAAATATGTGAGATCCTATACACAGAACTTCCCTTTCACCTCCTTTTTGATCCTTAGATTCTCTTTTAGACTTGGTTGGTGGTTGCTAACTTGATTCAACAGTTTTTGAAGGGAACAACTGAAATGTATAAAGGATGGTCCAGTTTAATTTGTTGGCCTAATCTCAATTGTTCAATTGCTTTATACAACCTACCATTAATTTTATGAAGTCATTTGTTTTGAGGTTTTGTAAAAAGCTTGCATATTTAGAAAAATACAGTATTCAAAAGCTATTACATGAAAATGTTAAAATGAATATTTTGCAAATCAGGTATAGAGAATTACTATTTAGCTAATATTTGTAATAATTTTCCTTTAATTTTTAATGCTTTGAGAAGAACTGGATACGAGGGTGGAGATTGTTCATCTTCAGTTAATGGAGGAACTTCAAAATCAAGTGAAGGCAACTCACCTTTGCAGTTACCAAAATTTTGTTATGAATGTGGCGCTAGATACCCAGTTGAATCTGCAAAATTCTGCTGTGAATGTGGAGTCCGAAGAATGGTTTTGTGAACACATACTCTAAAATAGAATAAAAGACAGTAAGCTCTTCATTTGCTGTGGTTGCATGGAAATCTGTGCTAAACCTTCTCATCAGAACTCTTGCTAAAACACAATAGCAGTTTTCTAAGAGCAATTCTTTTTGGTTGCGAAGTAATTTATATAAATATATAAATATACTGTATATAAATGCTGTGCCATGCAAGAAAGTATTCCTGAGACACTGTTAGAAATATTGTTACTAGGGAAAATATTAACTCAAGAGGTAGGAGTGTTGTTTTTGTTTTTGGAATCCTACTAGTATTATATCCATATGTCTCTTATTAACTCATGGTGTTAATCCTGAATAATTTACTCTAGATTCTAATAAAGAATTCATATATAAAGAGAATATGGGCTGATGCTCTTAAGTTAGCCGGTAATTTAATGAGTGTCTCCTCACAAATCTTATTAACAACTGAGATAGTTTCAGTTCAGATTGATTGATCTTTTCTACTCTATAATTCTGCTTACAGATCGGCACATTTTTTTCTGCAGCTGCATCTAAAAGAATTTTATACAACACTTCCTCATGTACAGTGTAAGATTTTTCCTTGCCATATTTTACATAAAATTCCTCAAATAGAATTGAATAAGCACTTAGAATTCTAGCTTACAATCATAAACACCAATATATTTGTTCAATGCGACCTAAATCATTTCACTTTCCACCCTTATAGAGAGCCCTGCAGTTGTTACGTGGACTGTAAGATAATAATAGCAATAGATGACACTTTTTTTTTTGCAATTTTTATGGATGTTTCAGAATTTGACAATGGAATAATGCATTTTTTGCCTTTGCAATATCTTTTTCTTAGGTGTTTTTTGTACCTTCTGAGGCCAAAGCAAAAGGAACTAGTGTCAGAAGGAATATAAATGCTCACTGAAGCTCTTAACCTGCATCAAAATTAGATTGTTATATTACTACTAGTTTACATTTTCACAGCAACTATTTTTCCTATGGAGATGATTCCTGTAACATTTAATTGTGCCTTTCCCAAAATTAGTTGGATCATTTTTTATCCAAACCAGTATGTCTAAACTATTGCCACTCCAGGTATAGTAACAATTAAAGCTTTCAGCAGGGCCATTTGTGGCATTTGACCACTGCATAATTGGCAATATATTTTTAGATTTCAGTCTTTTTCAGCTGACTCAGTGTGTCTAAAAGCAACTGGAAATATATTTGGTCAAGTTCTTATTCCTGCCTCTCCTTTCTAGTACAACTAAACATTTAGCATTAATGAGGTCATTGGTGTGGAATTGTACTTGTGGATCTTAAGATTTTCTGAAAAAAAGTGTTGTAAATTCTGCCCCAATGTTGTGCTGTGACCAAGTTCAGTTTCTAGCAAAATGGTTGTTACTCTGCCATAGTATAATACTGAGTGGGTATGTTCATAGTAGGCATATGTAGTAAACCACCAATACTGAAACTAAGTGACCAAGATGTATAGAATTTTGTTGGGGCTTGCACACATTATCCTGTATTGCTTTCTCATGTGCTCAGTCCAGATCCATTTTTAATTTTTATTATGAAGATTACATCTGCCTCCCACCAGTTTTATATACTGTCCATTGCAATATTTTGCTTATTGCTTATATTTTAATTTTATGGGAGGAGGCATAAAAAGAATATTAAAAGTTGCACTTTTAAAATGTGACTATCTTAATAGACCCAACAAATCATATTACTGCTTCTTTGCAAAGGCTCATATGATTAACCAGATAGAAGGATTGTTATGTGGGTTGATTTAGTATTTGAAGCCACATTTTAAGATCCTATTTAGCATAGAATTGTTTTATATGAGTTGGTCTGTGATAGCAAAATGTAAGAGTATCATCAAAGATCCTTACAATGTCATTTATAATGAAAATGAGATTGATAATAATAGAAGACAGTCTTAAAATCAGTAAATAATTTTATATTGTTTCAGAACAGAATACAATGTTTTAAAATGGCAGTTGTTACTGTGTAAAATAATCACAATCAATTAAGGATACTGGGAAAGGTTTTTCATTTGTTTGTTTTGTCTCATTTTCTGTTTAGATCTCTTGCAGAGCACCTGCCCTTTTACAACAAAGATTAATTACTGAGGACCATTTAATAAGATGTAACAGGGCAATTACATTGTTCTGTGCAGTGGACACAGACAGTCAGGATCCCAATATCTGACTTCAGATTTTTCAGCTCCTCAAAAAACAAAACACATTCCTGAAGCTTGGGTGGAAAAGACAAGCCCCTGCCTGTGCAGAAGTACTGTGCCTGCACATAAAGCTCTTAAAATCCCAGCTAGTAAGGAGACATTTTAGAGGTAATGTTTTATAATATCTCACAATCCTCAGAATACTAAGGAGAAAAACATGTATCAAAACATGTATTCATTTGTGCTTTTCAGTTCCTAGAAAAAACAGTAGATCAACTAGATCAACATTTGTCCAACTTGGTAACAAAGTTCAGGGTGCAATCCATTCAGTCAGTAGGTCCCCCCATAACTTCAAGGACAACTGGATAACACCTTCACTCTTGTTTGCATTCTCATAGTCATTTTAATTTTTATTTTGCACACTCACACATATTAACCCTAACCTTGACAGATTATTTTCTCTGTGAATACTGATGCTCATAAACAGGTGAACTCAGTATATTCAAGATTTCACTCAGGGTATATTTGTGTGTTTTTTCCCTGCAGAATAATTTCTGTGCTTTAAAAAAAAGTGTACCCATTATTTCCCCTGTGACAGAGTGGCACAGAGATCTCACTTTGCATTTGGTTATCTAATTTGTATTCAAACATGATGATGGAATTCTAGCTAAAGTTTCTTGTATCCCACTTCATCTTTGGCATTTTGTAAGAGATAGATTGGTACTTTGAGGCTACTACTGCTACTGCTCTGCAGACACTGCTTAGATCTGCTGAGATTCATCTTGGATTTTGTTATATTTTGGGTGTCAGCTATTTAGATTAGACTTATTATGCACCTTCATTCACCAAAGATCCCACATATTTATTTCTTAATGTTTTCATATTTAGTACACCTACATACCAATAAATATTTCTTACTGGGTCTGCCTTATAGCTTAAATATATTGTCCATGCTTGTTGTAACAGCAAGGTATAAATTTCTACTGAAGTTATTGTGAACATTAGTCTTTAAATGCAAAAGGAGTCTGTAAATGCTTCTTATGTGTTATCTAGTCCTTCATTAACAATAAAGCAATTATTGCATAAAGAAAATCTATTATGTCTTCATATTGTGGTTTGGGTTCTTTTAACTGATGTTCTTGGCAGGAGCTATGTTGCCAATATATCAGCCCCCAAGCTCTAGATCTTGTTTGGTGGCCAGGTAGTGTTGGGATGAGATATTGCAAGCACAATGGACCCTGGCAAGGCAGACATAATGTGACTTTTGGAAGTTTTGAAAGCTTTTGCCAAACTCCATTATCCTGGAGACTGAGCAAAGCTTCACCTTATGATGTGTTAGAATCTTCCTTCCATTTTGGTGGGTAGTAGGCTTAAGCTTTTGATGAGTTCTTAGTTTGCTTTATGTAGAATTACATTTAATTGAATAATGTATGTGTTTTATGTATTGTAAGCTAACCTGAACTTTAATGGTGGGACAGGCTAGAAGCACAATTCAAGAGATGATATTATTTATGTCCTCCCTATTTCCAGTGATTGGGACTCAAGGTGGCTCACAGTATTAAAATTAACTCAATTAAAACATTCAAAAGTATACAAAAGTTTAAAAATAATACTTGAATCAAAGAAATATTAAAATTGAATCACTACCCCAAGATGTTTTTGTTTAGGTTTCTGCATAACTAGAAATGAGGTCGTTGCTTATCTTGATGTAAGGGGGAAAAATAAAATTATGAAGAAGTTGGTTGCCCTTACCAAGTGCTGGCATACATTCTGTTACAAAACAGAATGAGGCTAAATAATTGGGAGAATAAGTATTTATGTGCAGTAGAATGAGCTATAGTTGTCATGTTTGTTAAGTGGGTGTGTCTACAGTTAAGGCTATATAGGTAACAAGTCAATACCCTTCAAAGGTGTACTTAATTTTTATTTAAAATATGCACTTACTGTTTTTATATTAAATATTCCAAATGATTTACAAATAAAACTTGATCAAACACAATAAGAAAGTAATAAATTCAGTTTAAAACCACAGCACCAGTAATGGAATCAGCCTAAAATCATTTAATATTAAGAATAGAACCAAGAAAATCAACAACTGATTGCTTTTTTAAAATATTGAAGAACAGACTTAGGATATAATCCAGTGATGCCTCTAAGCTTCTGAACCCAGAGAACTATAGTTGTTTGTTTATTAGATTTATATCCCACTTTTAAAAAGAACTCTAAGCAGCTTACATCATTCTCCTATTCAAACCTATCCCCACAACAACAACCCTGTGAGGTAGGTTGGGCTGAGAGTCTGTGACTGGCACAAAGTGACCCAATTGGCTCCATGGCTGAGCAGAGCCTAGAACCCAGGTGTACCTGTGATACTCTGCTTCTGCGAAGTGTGGTATTACAGAGGATAAGGGAAAGGGGCAAGAGTGCTATCATGAAAAATCCTTTCCCAATGGCCCCAGTTTCCTCTTCTATGAGGTCAAGTTCATCACCTCAGAGAAGCAGCCAGTACCATTATTTCTGTGTCAACTGTGAGGGAAGGGTCCTGAGCCCCATTCCCATAGTCTTGAGCGCCGTTTTGACATTGGATCTGGTAATCCAAAGAATCTGTCTACATAGCCATAGGATAGCTCTGTCAGTTGTTGTTGTTGTTGTTATTATAACAACATTTCTATGCCGCCCCTTGCCGAAGCCTTATCTATACAGTAAGTGGACAGTGCAATCTTCCCTACTGATTGTTGCTTTCCAGGCATATCTGATAACTTGTCACCTCTTCCCCAGCCAGCCCTAAGGCTGCATCTAAACACTGGGATAGTAGATATGTAATAAATAGGGTGTTTTCACTGAAAACACTGTTTAGCTCCCACCAATCTGGTCTCTGGAATCTGGAAGAAACCGAGAATCTGAAGCAGACCACATAGGAAAGATAGTCCTGTTCTTTGTAAGGCTTTAAAGGTCAAAACCTATGCCATCAAGTGTGAATAAAAATACACCCAAGCCATTCATTTCCTGTAAATTCTTCGTTCAGTCTATGGAACTGCTGTAACAGTGGTCTAGCATACATTACTAGCTTGAACGAAGAACCATTTCACATGATCAAATAAGCCATGGTGGATTAATAAGTGATGTGAGCCCACCACCATTTTCATAATTTCTTGCTCAGGTGTGGTTCATTGTGTCATCTAAACCCTAACCTACTTGAGAGGGAAACAGCATGAAAATGGTCAATACATAACCATTTAATTTGTGTGAACAAGTGGATAAATAAGACTAGTTGGAAGGTCAAAAAATGGTAATAGTGGGTCTGAAGGAAGAGTATGCAAGTTTTAATAGACACTGAATAACCTTAGAAACAAGAAGGCTTTTGTATGTTGTAGCTATACATTTTTATCATAGTATTTTATTAGCATTGTAAATGGGTCCCAAATTTACTTGTTTAATCCCTGAGAGTGAAATCATCTATATAGTTTCAACAATCAATTAGCAACCTTTTGCCTTCAGGCAGACACTTTATTTCAGTTTCTAATATTCTGCTAAAGCTAGCAATAGAAACTACAGCTAAACCTTGTTAAACACTTAACATTGTGTTAATCCCTATGGATACTTTCAGAACTAAATAATCCTAGCTGTATAAAATTGCAAGACCTACAGACAACTGTAAATGCATTTGTTAAATTAAATACACATTCTAGCTATACAAAGGCAATAAAATTTTATAAAAATGTATTAATATTTTAAGTTACACAGCTTTATTACATTACATGGCTTACACCCAAGAAGTCAAATTTGAGCAATTCCTGAGTATTTCTGTAAGAATTTTTCTGACTGTACATGACAAAACAATGCTTTCTCTACAGCCATAGTCCTTACTTCTACCTCACTTGCATTGCCCTTTTGCCCTTTAGCTTTCATTCTTCAAAGTGCCATCCTTCTGTTAAACTAAAATGTTTTCAAATCCATTAAGTACAATATTTTTAAAACTTACTTGGGAATCTTCCTAAAACATGTTTGGAACTGTTCTGTATACATTAATAAAATCATATTGATTTGGTAGGTTGTGCTCTTTGTAACATAAGACAAAATGGTATTATGACTAAAGGGGTTATTTTAAAGGGTAGATAAATTCTAAGGACTGGTGAAGTACAGATAATTCTTTTTTGTTCCAGTAGGATGTTCTGTCTTCCATTGACATTGACAGCTTCCTTGAGAAGTTTAAGGTCCAGTTTATATTCTTTCAACTTTTTCTTCCATGTCTTCTTCCCAGGAACAAAATTACAAGTTTACTCACGACCTAGGGCAGAGAATATTTGCATATGCAGAGAGGATACACTTGCAGTGCATAACTGTATTCAGAAAAATACTCTGATCTGGAAAAAAACCCCATTGTGCATTGCATCATCCACAAAGTTTCTCTATTGTAGTGACCTCTTAAAAACTCAAGTGATAAACTGAATCCAACATGATTTTAATCCATCAACTATTTTCTTTATACAAATGTTCTTTTTGCATCTGTTCTGCCTCGTACATCTTCCATTTTGAGTGTTGGTGCTGTTACAGTTCTACATTAAAAACACAAAACAGTTGGTTATTATGCTGTATATACTTTCTGTGTATTTTGTATTTTTCACACCTGTAGAGATTTAATACTGGCTAGAGTCTTGGATGCATTTTAAATCACTGCTAAACAGCCAACTTGTTGCAGTGGGATGCTGTTCTTAGCCCCGAGAATCTGTTCCCATATCATACACTATGAGGAGTATGTAATACAGCTGTGAACAAATGCAACCAAGATGGGGTGCCAAAAGAGAAAAGCACTCTTGCCAGCTTTCTCATTGGTCACATCATACAGTGAATCAAATCTTGGTATTAACAATCAGGTAGCATGAATGGGGCCCCAGAACAAAACATTGTTGGGGTGCGATGTGTATGTTAACTTGCTATAATTCAGGTACATCTTCATATGCAATGTTTAAAGGAAACAATCTTGAACAATTAAAAGTACAACCAGTTTGTGCACCACATGAAGCTTTGAATTTGTCCAAGGAAAGTCCAATAATATCTAGAGGATCATAGGTTCCCCACTCAATTTAGTATCATTGATAGTATACTATCCTGATAGTAACAATGTGATAAAACTTTTCAAAGTAAATTTTGTCTTTATTCAGAGTTTCTTTTATGCTCCTTGGGCATTTATTGCTATGCACATAGAAAGAAAGACTTCAAGAACAAATAAAACCAAATGCTTTTTTGGAGACATACCTTTTTTAGGGTTTCCAGTGTCTGCTCTGAAACAATATCCATGCTGTTCTTTAACTCATGTGGGATAGTTTGATTAGATAACTTTTTAAGACACTGTGCCATACAATATATGGATCTTTCCTGTAAAAAATATATTTAAAATGAATTGGAGTTGTGCTGGGCTTCATCAAAGTTTTGTAGACTGAACTCACTGATTGGTTTGATCACTAAGTGGTGTGATAAACTTCACCATGATTGTTCCATCCCAGACCAGACTGACCCAAATTATAAAAGTCCTTTGAAGGAAGGGATTTGACAAACATAGGCAAAGCAGACCCACTGAAATCAGTGGGAGCCATAGCTAACTTTTCCCACTGATTTTTTGTGGGTCTTCTCTAGGAATGACACAGTCTGGATTCATACCATAGGACATTGATAACTATGGGTCTGTTTGAATTTTAGGACTTCAAACAGAGGTGCAGGACCTGTGATTCACAAATATTTAGGACCAACTGTATCATCCCTGGCTGACAGAATTGGAGTCCAATAATACCTGGAAGATTGTAGGTTCCATATCCCTGAATTAGCATTATTTTTTGAATTTAAAACTTAGAACTACTTTTAAATTAAAATTATTTTAATATCTAAGAGAACAATCTAATGCCCTCTGATTCAGATGCATGTAAGCCTCCAAACTCAGATGCTTGTGTGCACCCATAAGGTGTGACAGTGATCCCTGTTGCATCTTGCAACATTTATTTTATCTAGGTAAACATTTTCTGCTGTCTAGGTTAAGTGTTCAGGAGAGGAGAGAGGAGGAGACAGGGTCACCAATAGGAATCAGTGTAAGTCCCTAG